CATCCTCCCTCCCACCAGAGTGCCTCCCTCCTCCCTCCTGCCATAGTCCTCCCTCCTCCCTCCCCCCAGATCACCTCCCTCCCTGCTCGCCATATCTCCTCTCCCCTTCCTCCCTCCTCCCTCCTTCGACGTGGCACCCCTTCCGCCATAGCTTCCCTTCTCCCTCCGCCCTCCTTCCACGTGGCACGCCTCCCTCCTCCTCCCTCCCTGCAGGTCAGACAACCCATAATCCACCCCACTCCTGCACCCCCTCCCCTCACCCACCCCAAAACACACAAACTCATATGCACGAAAATTCAAAACGAGGCCGGATTTGGGCAGTACTAGGAAAGCGCAGCAAGGTGCTGCAATCAAAAGAAAAAAAGAAAAAAAAGGCAGTGGATTTTTTGCATGCCCAGGGTACCCCGGGCGGGGTCCCCACCCGGGCGAGGCGCCCGGGGCACCCGGCCGGGCGCCCCGGGAAAGCTAGAAAAAAACCTTCAACAGAGAAGTTAGAGCTACCAGCAAGAGCAGAAAGGTTGGAGGACGTATAATGCAAGAACAGAAGTCGGACAGTCTATCCGCAAGGGGCTCACTCCTGTCTTCACCCAGACAGAGCACACCTTCACCATCGCTGTAATGACCGTGTGTCCTATTCAGGCAAAGACAGTAGGTCAGGTTGGGGTACAGTTTCGCGAACCTTGTATCAGTGTGATAGTCTTCTTCCGCCGAATTGCAGTTGCCACTGCAAGCAGTTGAGAAGAGTTAAAGAGATTCTTGTCCACCCAGGCCTTGAACCCTGATGCTTCCATCTGTGCTCGTGCATCATCCACTTGCTGTCCAATGCCTGGTTTCAGGCGCTCCTTGCGTTTGCAATTGGGATTGAGGATAATGTCAGAATATTCCACTTGCAAGCTCCGGAAAGCCCACACGGCTTCGTACATGCGCTTCAAGGACTTCATACAATCAAGCTTCCGCAGTCTAGCCTGAACAAACCCCGAAGCATTATGATTCAGATGCAGCCTGCCTAACCAACATCGATGCGCGGCATAGACACGAAGAAATGAGACTTAGAAAGAAAGAATGAAAGGGAAAAAAAAACAAAAAAAAACAATCACCATTCGCTTCTTGACCAGAAGAGCCTCTCAGAAGTGCTGGTTTATCAGACAGGAGAAATGCAAACAAAGTTTAACAAACGGTTTCATTGCACGACCTTGACAGAGATGAGGGCAGTTGATGTTACGGAAAGAGTGTTGGAAGAAGCGGGAGGAGGAGGGGCAAATGATTTCAAGAATCATTCTGACAGAGGTGCTGGTCATGTTTGGCGGTTGTCATACCCCATAACCATAACCCCACAAACAGTTTGATAAATTTTCATCACACCCCTTCATGATCAACCTAGTTGTCGACACACAAAAAAAGTTTTATGCTTTTTGCGGCAGTTGCATAGCGATTGCCATCACGAAAACCTCCCCGTCATGGAATGTGTAATGCTTACAAGGGCAGATATTTATGTTGCCATAGCTTCTGAACTCGATCATCATACAAGGCTCTCAGACTCTCAGTTATTGTACCGCTGATGCTCAACGCATCACAGACATCACGAGTACATCAGATTTTTCAATTTACCAATTGCCTCATCGCATCACCCATGTCCGTCATAGCAAACAAAGGTTATGTTCAAACTTCAAGCTCTCGCTTCCATCAGCCACCATGTTCTTGACTCACTGTTGTCACTGACATTCTCGTTGCCACTCATTCACCACAGTCGTGTTCCTCACATTTCTAATTGGTTCTCCTAGACATTGTGCTCAGCAGCTTTCTCCTCCTCCTCCTCCTCCTCCTCCTCCTTCATTGTTTCTCAGGTGAGACTGCTAGCATCATAATCAATGACCTCCGCCTCATCTTCCCCGTGCTCCTCCTTGGTTCCTCCTCCTCCTCCCTGGTTCCTCCTCCATGATGCTTTATCCTGCTCGTCTTCAGCGTCAGAATCTGGCCGGTAATTGTGTAAACTTCGCCCTGATTGCCAAATCGGACAAGTCTGAGAGCCATAGACCGGGTAACCCTCAGTGAACAGGCTCAAACAGTCACTTGATGGGGTCAGTTATCAGGCCCAAAGCAGCTGTAGAAAGGAGAAAACAAAGTTGCAAAACCCCTCTAATTATACCAAAGCCTGTACAGGCAAGCACTCCAATTCGCACGTGGAAGACGTACCCGTCGCTTCAAATCATGCAACCAGTTCTACACTTGAGTTTCCAAATAGGAAAGAACATTAAAAAAAAAGTTTAAAAAAACAATCTGCTCAGGTTGGAAATTGCACAAACCACCTAGGGCACTCTGCAGATGTGCAGGTGGATGATCTCCTCCTGATCATGCTCTTGCGCAGGTCCGCCCTGACCAGGCTACCTTCTTCAGCCGAATGCAACCTACGGTAATTATTGCTGTATTTCGACTGAAAGGACCCCAAGTACAGTTATAATGACCGTACGTTGTATTCGGCTGAAGAAAGTAGTTTTGCCCATTCAAACTCTACTGAAAAGCACAAGCAGGCTATTTCTGTCCTTCACCCTACCGTCTTCACCCGAATGAAAGACCGGTCATTACCGCTGTATCTGGACTGAAAGGTACACTAGTCACGGCTATAATGACCACGCAGTCTGGTCTATTCGGGTGAAGACAGTATTTTTCATTACCCTGCCTGCCTGCCTGCTCTACCTAATTCTGACTACAGTCTTCACCCGAATAGAACGCCCGGTCATTATAGCTGCATTTGGCCCAACTTTCAGTCCAGATGCAACGATAATGACCGGGCGTTCTATTCGGGTGAAGACGGTAGTAAATCCTCACAGAATACCAATTTCCAAAAGAAAAGAAAAAGTGAAACAGCAAGAAACTTGAACATTGAGCAAAAGCTTCCGACTCCTCAGTACTTCGACGGCTAAGGGGCATGGGCTAGACAGGAACGTACCGACAGCGGCCATGGAATGCCAGGAAGTGTCTTAATCACACACATCCCTGCAGAATGCCTGTGGATGGCTCCCAAGAGCGGCTGCTCAGATTGGTCGTCAGCTGACTCCACCACGACCAATGTGTCAATTGTGAGCATGTTTGCAGCATCTCGGCCGGTTTTCGTACTCCTCTCTGCGTATTGCGCATACTGAAATCCATCACTGGCATTCTTATCATGTGAGTGAAGGGCCCACAATCCTGCAACAAGGAGATGGGAAATTGTCAAAATCCTTCACAGCTGCTAAGTGCTGGCGCCCACCAACAGGCCTAGCGCAGTTGGCTCCAACGGGCTGGCTTTCTCGGGTTTCTTATCAGCTCCTCTTCCTCCAGGCTCTCCCGCTTCGTGGCCTTCAGATATCGACGAACATACGATGGGGAAGTCGAATTGTACCCTTAGGAATGTTTTTTTTTTTTTTTTTTTTAAGGGCGAACATAAGGCCACCTAMAGTTATCAAAGTGTGCGACCGAACTTCACACTAGGGGCATATGGCTTACCATCAGCTGGCAACGGTAGAGGAAACAAAGCATGCCCTCAAAGCACATTCATACAGACCCGAAGAGCATACGCTGCACGCCTGCATTTCATGCCCAGCAATTCGCCGGAAATGTCCCAACTGCTCAGTTACTGCAACACTTTGTGTCCAGCAAAGTCTGCGGAGATGCCGAATTTCAGCACTAGCATACCACCAGATGACAGCATTGTCATAGGTTCTGGACATCCAAACCAGTTCAAAACTAGGAAGATTTTCATGACCGGCCCGTCTGGACCAGCCGGTCACCCGGGCGTGACGCCCGGG